ATTTAAAAACTCAGCATTATATATATTTTTTATTATAAACATTTTAAAAAGTTAATTAGCTTCGATTTTCTCTGCTACTTGATCGATATTACAACTGTTACTAGTGGTTGGAGTTGTCGAGATTAGATTACCGTCGACTATGGCTATATAAACATACATGATGTGTGCGTATATATGTATATGTCATTGAAGTTTACTACTAATTAATTATTTTCTCATTTTTAATTATTTTGTACAAGTTATATTCTTTGTATTGACAATTTTGTCATGCAGAAAAATCAAAGATACCGCGTAATACATGAAAATGGCCCACTGTGGAAAAACATTATCCTCGATTTTCAAAATTAATTATTATTATTTATAATATTGTGTGGATAATAAAATAAAGAGTCAACGTTCTGTGAACCCGGCTTTAAAATGTCTTGGAAACAGATTTTTCCCACAAAACTTTCCCAACACAGAAAAAAACCAAGTCAATAGTTGTTTTCAATTCAACAGATTTCTAGACTCGAGACTTATCGCCCATTCTTTTATTGGTATTTTTCTGTTTAGCCAATTTTTGTTACATATTATTTTAAATTCACTTTTCTAAAATTCATTTTCAACGATACAATTTCATAGGGTCCGTTTGGTTAGAAGAGTGTAATTTGTGTGGAAAGAAAATAAATTCTATGGAATTGAATTGCCTAAAATTTTGGGTGGAAAGAAAATAAATTCCATGGAATTGAATTGCCTAAAATTGTTTTCCTGAAAATTGTCAATTAATTGTGTTTGATTGGTATAATTTTTCACGTGGAAAATATTGAAATTTTGGATCTTTTGGTGTTCGTTTAGCTTTATATTGCACGTAAATTGTCTATTAAAGGGAAAAAAAAAAAACTTTTTACAATTGCAAATATAAATTGTTTCCATTTCAAAAAATAAAAAAAAGATGGAGAACCAAAAACCACCAAAACCATGGGAAAGCAAATTCAGGGAAATGTGGAAAATCAATCGCCTGGAAAATTTTGGCTATCCAATAACCAAAAAGGTGGAAAATTAAAAATATTTTTCAATTCCCATGAAAAATTTTACACATTATAATAAAATAATTTTGCTCATAAACGCATAACCTTTTTCCTACTTTCCTAATAACACATTTTCTAAAAATATCATTTTTTTTTAACCAAAACTAATCAAAGATGTCTTTAGAGCTCGTTTGACAAAACTTTTGAAAAAATATTAAAAAGTTACTTTTAAACCTGTTATGATATTTTACTGAAAGTGCTTTTCGGCTAGAAAAGCTTTTAGGGAAAATGGACGTAAAATAGCTTTCTAGAGAGTTCTTTTACAATAAGTGGAAGCAAAAGTAAATCGTGTCATACATTTCAATTAATGAGCAGGTAATGATTCTAAATTCATATTTCACAATTTTTATAAACATACCATCTACACAATTTCATCTATGTGCGTGGAGGCATAAAAGATCTTTACATTTAAATAAATAAATTTGCTCCCTAACTAACAAGTTATTATTCAATATTCTATATGAATTTTTCAACTCATAACACGTAAGTAGAATGGTACATGAATTATACCATGCATGTACATGGTATGGTATACATGAAATATAAAAAAAAAAAATTAAATCATTGAAAGAAATAAATGCATAAATAATCTTGGAAAAGAAGTTTTTGGGTGGAAAGAAAATAAATTCTATGGAATTGAATTGCCTAAAATTGTTTTCCTGAAAATTGTCAATTAATTGTTTTTGATTGGTATAATTTTTCACGTGGAAAATATTGAAATTTTGGATCTTTTGGTATTCGTTTAGCTTTATATTACATGTAAATTGTCTATTAAAGGGAAAAAAAAAAACTTTTTACAATTGCAAATATAAATTGTTTCCATTTCAAAAAATAAAAAAAAGACGGAGAACGAAAAACCACCAAAACCATGGGAAAGCAAATTCAGGGAAATGTGGAAAATAGTGTCACGTGATGTGAAGTTGGAAAATCAATCGCCTGGAAAATTTTGGCTATCAAATAACCAAAAAGGTGGAAAATTGAAAATATTTTTCAATTCCCATGGAAAATTTTACACACCATAATAACATAATTTTGCTCATAAACGCATAACCTTTTTCCTACTTTCATAATAACACATTTTCTAAAAATATCATTTTTTTTACCAAAACTAATCAAAGATGTCTTTAGAGCTCGTTTGACAAAACTTTTGAAAAATCAAAATCTATTTTTGATATTAAAAAGTTACTTTTAAACCTGTTATGATATTTTTCTGAAAGTGCTTTTCGGCTAGAAAAGCTTTTAGGGAAAATGGACGTAAAATAGCTTTCTAGAGAGTTCTTTTACAATAAGTGGAAGCAAAAGTAAATCGTGTCGTACATTTCAATTAATGAGCAGGTAATGATTCTAAATTCATATTTCACAATTTTTGTAAACATACCATATACACAATTTCATCTATGTGCGTGGAGGCATAAAAGATCTTTACATTTAAATAAATAAATTTGCTCCCTAACTAACAAGTTATTATTCAATATTCTATATGAATTATTCAACTCATAACACGTAAGTAGAATGGTACATGAATTATACCATGCATGTACATGGTATGGTATACATGAAATATAAAAAAAAATGAATTCATTAAAAGAAATAAATACATAAATAATCTTGGAAAAGAAGTTTCATACAAGTAACTCTATGTTGGATAGATGGATAATCTGGCTGTTTGAATATTATGTCTTTGCCTTCTCCATATATATATAAACATACAAAAACCTTCCGAAACAAATACATATTTCCCTACAATCAATCTTCAAACTTAGCTTTTGCAGTAAAACAATTGCTTATTCTTGAAGAATTAATCCAAGAAAATCTGATTCAAGAATGAGAGGGAAGAAAGTCATGAAATGGAATGTTATATTTCCAAGTTGTTTCAAGATTGAGAACCCTACTCCCAAGCCAAAGAAAGTTGTGCCAAAATCATCGTCATCTCCGAGGTTTTCACGGTTGGATTTAAGCAGTTCAACTATTTCGGAAAATCTGTCTATTTCTTTAGCCGGTTCAAATCTTCACGTGTTTACGCTTCAAGAACTTAAGGTGATTACACAGAATTTCTCATCAAGTAACTTTCTTGGTGAAGGAGGGTTCGGCCCGGTTCATAAGGGGTTCGTTGATGATAAGATTAGGCCGGGTTTGAAGGCTCAGCCTGTGGCAGTGAAGCTCCTGGATTTGGATGGCACACAAGGGCATCGAGAATGGCTGGTATGTGTTTAAGACTAAATTTTAATAAATAAATCTCTCTCTTCTTTAAAGATCTAAACTTTTAGACGAGGTTGTTCTTCATTAAAATAAATCAAGAACTGTGCTACACGAACTCCTCTGTTGACACATTGGATGACAGAAATGGGTGTCAAACATACCCTAAAGTTCAATTCATTTGACATCTTAGAGGTTCTAAAAGGATAGTACGCCAAATCCAAAAAAAAAATAAAAAAAAAACTCTCTTCTGAAAATGACTTTTTGGATTTTATGCAGTGATTTTTGTTTGATTGTGCATTGGAATTAATTATCTTTTATAATTAACAGACTGAAGTGGTGTTTCTTGGTGAATTGAGACACCCACATTTGGTGAAGTTGATTGGATACTGCTGTGAAGAAGAACACAGGCTTCTGGTATATGAATACATGCCAAGAGGTAGCCTGGAGAATCAACTCTTTAGAAGTAAGTTCTTTTTTTCATTAAATTATAAATAAAATTGCACTTATCACTGTGTGTTGTCTCTTGTTTCGTGGGAATTAAAATTAGATTTTTATTAGATTTTAATAGAGGTTTTTAAAATGTGTGGTTGAAAAACTGTGAGACTCATGAAAGATGTTGTTAATATTAATTGTTTGACTTTAACTTACATTAAAATCTTATTTTAATTTACACCAAACAAGGGTGTTTGGTGTAAATTAAAATAAGATTTTAAGTGCATTGTGATAGAAGTTTTTGAAATGTGTGGTTGAAAAGATGCGGGACCCAAGAAAGATGTGATTGATATTGATTGTTTAACTTTGACTTAGTTCGAATTCCAGGTTTCTTGGTTCATTTTCCTGTATTTAACTCAAATAATTGGCCACAAGTGCTCAAGTCAATACTGATATTTTCTTGGGTCTTGTTGCTTCTGTGCTGGTAACTTGTCAACAGTACCCCTTTTAACTTTTGAACAAGTCAGTCTTCCTTCAGGTGAACGGTTTCACATACTTGTTATATGGCCAACTCTGCCAATGTTTTAAGAATTGATCCCAAAATAAAATAAAATTTTAAAGTAAATCGACTGATTATTAGTGTGAACTGATTTTTGACTTATTTTGATTGTTTTTTGTTTGATGTAAATTAAAATCAGATTTTAAGTGAATTGTGATAGAAGTTTTTGAAATGTGTGGTTGAAAAGATGCGGGACCCAAAAAAGATGTGGTTGATATTGATTGTTTGACTTTGACTTAGTTCGAATCCCAGGTTTCTTGATTCATTTTCCTGTGTTTAACTCAAATAATTAGCCACAAGTGCTCAAGTCAATGCTGATATTTTCTTGGGTCTTGTTGCTTCTGTGCTGGTAACTTGTCAACAGTACCCTTTTTAACTTTTGAACAAGTCAGTCTTCCTTTAGGTGAACGGTTTCACATACTTGTTATATGGCCAACTCTGCCAATGTTTTAAGAATTGATCCCAAAATAAAATAAAATTTTAAAGTAAATCGACTGATTATTAGTGTGAACTGATTTTTGACTTATTTTGATTGTTTTTACAACTATCGATCTTTTGTATATAACAAGATGGGTCTTCGAACTAGTCCTCGATTTTTTCGATTGAATCAACAGTTGGGTCCAGTTTGATTTTGATAATATTAACTTCAACTGCTTGCTGTAGGTTTTTAAGTAATTTGAGTACGAATTTTCAATAAATTCGATGCCTATAGACCATGTATATGAATTCATATAATACGATGTGAAATTTTATATTGAATGTCGATTTAGTACAAACTCGAAAATTTGACTTATAAACTGATTCCAAAGAATTGAGTAGAGTTAAATTAACAAGGAATTATTTCCCATGATGCAATTAATTGATGATTAAGAAACTTTTTTGTCTCAAGCAGGATATTCAATGTCTCTTCCATGGTCAACAAGAATGAAAATTGCCATTGGAGCTGCAAAAGGACTTGCCTTCCTCCATGAAGCTGAAAACCCTGTCATCTATAGAGATTTCAAAGCTTCAAACATTTTGCTAGACTCGGTAAGTTTCTTCTTTAAACTTGTTGGTACAAGACAAAATTTAAATAAATAATATTCGAGTAAAATTTTAGTTAATATCGCTCAACATGTCTGGTCAAAGCTTACTCTTTTGTCTCGTGTCTAGGATTACACGCCTAAACTCTCGGATTTTGGGCTTGCAAAGGATGGTCCAGAAGGAGACGACACACATGTCACAACACGCATTATGGGCACTCACGGCTATGCTGCACCTGAATACGTCATGACAGGTAATTTAGTTATAATCTTATGCATTTAATTCTCAACGAAAAACAAAATCATTTAAAACTAAATAAATTATCAAACTTTTTGCAGGCCACTTAACAGCAGCAAGTGATGTATATAGTTTTGGAGTCGTACTCTTGGAGCTTCTAACTGGCAGAAGATCGGTAGACAAAACCCGTCCTCACAGAGAACAAAACCTAGTAGAATGGGCAAAACCAATGTTAAAGAATCCTAAGAAACTGCTAAGCAGGTTAATGGACCCTAGACTTGAAGGGCAGTACCCAGAAATGGGGGCTCAAAAGGCAGCTTCCTTGGCTTATCAGTGCTTAAGCCATAACCCAAAACTTAGGCCACAAATGAGTGATGTCATAAAAAATTTGGAGCCCTTGAAAGATCTTAATGACAATATTCCAGTTAGGACATTTGTATATTCGGTTTTCGGGGACAGTGATTTGGAGAGGGAGAGTGAAAAAAAGGGTAGCAAAAACGGTTATTATAAGCAAGAAGGTCAGATTAAGTCTCCTGAATCTCGAGTTATCTTCTCGATGAATAGTCTGCATGAGAACCTAAGAAAAGGGTTGGATTCACCACTGCACAACGGTTTGAAGAGAGAATAGATTAGAAGAGTTTTGTGACTCGAATTGTAAATAGTTGTGTGTAATGAATTTGAAAACGAGAGAGAAAAGAATTGAAAAAATCATGAATTGAATCGAAATTCAATATATTCAACATTTTATAGTCAAACAAGTTATGTTTTCAAATTTTTGTGTCTCATGTTCATTTTTATTTGTTATTTTCTTATTTCCTCAATCCAATCAAAAAATAAAGTTTAACAAAGAATGAGAAATATAAAAAATGAAAAATAAAAATATAAAAATGATTCTCTCTCAATTGAAATGAAGACTCTCGACTGTGTTCAACAACACTCTGTACCCAATTTTTGGTTATCAAACTTAAAAAACGATACCAAAGGCAATTTTTGGCCATGATAGCTTTGATGATATTGAAGAAATTGTGAAGAAGAATGCAGAAATCGAGCGGGTGAAGGAAAGGAATAACAACATAATGGTACAATAAAAAGAAGAAACGTCGCCTGAGAGATTCGAACTCTCGCGGGGAAACCCCATGTACTTAGCAGGCACACGCCTTAACCACTCGGCCAAAGCGACGTTGTTGCTTTACTTCTTCATTTAACAAATAATAAAGAATAGTATTTTTGTCAATTTAAAAACATTCCCTCCCATCGTTTGCTGATAATTTTTGTAATTTCATGTTCTTGCAAGTTTTTCGATAAATTGTTTTTGTTCCTTTTTTAGTAGATTGTTTCCAATGACTTCGACGATGAATTATACGCAATTTTAGGAATTCGATCATCAAAAAATATGCTAAAAGTCAAAATAGAGTAAAACCAACAAAAGAAAAAAGGAAAGGAAAAATCCAAAATAAGTAGAATACCAATGCCACCTATAAGCATGGTGAGACAAAATGAATTATATTGCACTGTCTTAAGTTACATTTTGAACAAAAATGAAAAAGGCAAATATATCAAGTTTACATTTAAAATTACTGCATAATACACTAGCAACACAAGTAGCAAGGGTAGCAGCAGCAGCTTCTTTTGTCACAAGGGGAACAAATATTTATCTTTGGACATTTAGGATACCAACATGCACATTTTCTGGGAAAACAAAAATAAATCGAGCAGGACGGACATTTGGGAATGCAGCAACACTGTCTACAACAACCGCCACACATGTTACAGCATTGAGTATTGAAACATGACGAACAGTGGCACTTGGGCATTGAACAGCAGATGGGAATGCAGCAACACTGTCTACAACTACAGTCACACATGTTACAGCATTGAGTATTGAAACATGATGAACAGTGGCACTTGGGCATTGAACAGCAGATGCATGGGTCGAGATTACACAAATTGCAGTCGCAACAGTGTGGCATATGAGGACGAGGGCATTTAGGACAACAGCAAAACCATGGAATGTTGAAACAGGATGTTCCACTGAAATACAATAGAATTGTGTTACATATGGTAAGAATATAATACAAAGAATAATGTTATTTATCATTATGATGATGGAACATCGATAATGTAGCAGTTTATGTGGAATAATGTGATTAGACAGTTCAATTTTTATGAGAGAGGCGGAGGAGAGAGAGAGAAAAATGTGAAGGATAATTGGTTGCCACATCATCAATATTCCATCATCATGATAATAAATCACATTACTCTAATATAAAAGAAAACAAACTACTCGAACCAAAACCCCCCAAGAAGTACGTATTAAGGAGTAACACTAAAAAGGATGTTCAAGTTTCACAGATAGGCTCAACCATCTCTCGAACTGGGTGCTTCCAATGAATGGGGTTCCTATCTTTACGAGCACACAAAATAATAATCATTTGATGTTGGAGAAAAGAAAGTTTCCAATCTATAGGAGAACAAAGGAGATGCTAACAATTAGTTTCTCGACTCGAGATGGTACGAAGTAGATGCTGACAGTACATATTACATAGGACTTTTAACATGATTTGGCTTTGAGTAGCTTCCGAACCCATTTTCTTAATAGTCATGAAGCTGTATTAAGTTTTTCGTGTGAATTAGAAATAATTGTGAAGAGCAAAATCAATAATATCAATCTATTGACATAATAGGTCAATGATGGACAAAAAATTTCTAGTCATTGTCTGAAGCAATTGGATTGAATGAGGAAATCTGACTCGTATCCTCGAGAAATCTAGTCTAAAAAACATTGAGTTACAACCACGAGTGCAAGTACTTAGTTAATGATCATCAGCAGAAGTGCAGAACAAATGATTTTTGCCACGAAAGTTTTTTCTCTAATTCTAATTCTGAGACTTCTGATGACAAAAGGTGAACTTGAATAAGAATACTCCACAAATGGAAAGTGATTGGCAGCACATACCTGAGCCATTTCCAGAAGCGACAAGATCTGCGAATCTTCTTCGTTCTGCTTTTAAAAACCCAAGACAAAAATCAACGAGTGAGAGTGAGAAAATAAGAGATTATCTATCAGTGCCATAAAAAAAAGATAGTTGACGTTTTTCTTACGTAGGTATAAAAGGATCCGAGTTTCCAGTTACAAAATCTGCAATCCTGCAAAATCAACATGTTCATTTAGTTCCAAACTAATCACGAAGCAGGTGCAAAGCATGTTAAGAAGGGAAAAACAATATATAATTTCTTTAGATATATGATATAGATAAAGAAAACTTAAGGCATTCTGGAAAACAAAACTTGACATACTCTTTACAGGATTGTGAAGCAGGTCGAAGGCCTTCGACTGATTTTAATTCTTCCTGATTGCAATAAATTTTTGGATGAGATTCCGTTTACAAAAAAATAGGGTTTTCATAAAATAGAAGTACATTGCATCCTTCCCCCATCGACAAACTATGACAAAAATAAACCAAATAAGAGAGCTACTTAATATCATCAACCGTCACAGGTTAAATAAATTTGTGAAGTTTTGCTCATTTATCTTAGTTTCACCAAATACTAAAATCCTTTCCTATGTCAGAATGCTTTTTTACATGCCACAATTCCCAATCAAAAGAGACGTATTATGAAGAAGCCAGCACCACCATTCAAAGAATTATCTGGAAGCTGCTGGAATTTGAACATAATAGCTGCCAACATAAGAGAATAAATCTAGAGTGCATCCATGCCTAGAAGATACTAGAAGAGTCCAATTACTATCACCACCGCCATTTATGGATGTATCTAGAATTAGAATTGTAACTTCACCACCATAATAGAAATGTGTAGGAGGAAGCCACCGACATTACTCCTCTATAAATATATTATGCGTGTATGAAAAAGTGGAGTGATGAGAGAGTGTGTGAAAGAGTGAGCAGAAAGATAGAGAAAGAGAGTGCATATATAGTGAGAGAAATAGTATAGTGGAGAAAATTAGAGATAGTGCTATCAATATAAAATTAGAGAGGTGTAGTGCTAGTGGGATGTGTTTTCAAAACTGTAAAAGCGATTTATATCAATAAAATTATTTTCGTTTGCGGTTTGAACTCAACATATTAGCTGCATAAATTCACATCTCTTAATGTGAGAAGAATGAACAAGAGCGGTCAACATTTGAAAGTTAAAATGCATTCTGCAGTCAAAAAGTATACAATATTTCCATTTTTCTATTGATTACTATAAATTGAACCAAAGGTGCTGACCTGCTTGAACCAATAAATGCACTCCGTTAATTCAGCCAATGTGGAATAAGTTATGCATTAATGACATCCATGCAAGAAGGCTGGACGAAATTCAGCTAACACAAATACTAAAATGTCATGTGAAACCTCAAAACATTCTGGTTATACAGAGCCAGATTTTGCCCTGCAACTAGAAGAAGATGGCTTTGGGGGTCACTGTGGTTTGGCTGAATGCGGTTTTCCGTCAGAGTCTTTGAACAGGAGATTATTTAGAACTTCGGAAGCAAGGATCTTGAGAGAAAGAAGGTTGCTTCGAAAACAGATATACAATCAATCCACATCCGTATATTACGCGATTCTTGGCTTGCCCCAGAATCCTTGTTTTCTAGTCAGGCACAAAACAGGGCAGGATGAGGGCGGATCATCTCACCGAGGCTAAAGCATGGTCCTAAGGCCGCGGAAATTGGAAAATCCCATAGTTTTTTGTGTTATACTTCACGGCAACAAAAACACACCTTGCTGATTTTGTCCTTAGTAATTTATAATTTGTAGCATAATATCAACCAAATACTCCTAAAAAGCAAGTGAAAACACCGCGTGACAAAACGTAATTTCAAACATAATTGATATAAGCTCAAGTAATCCTTGACAACACAAAGCACCACTTGATACAATGTCTGAGCATTGCTGACACTCTAAAAGTTAAACTCAAATGGACACAAGCATGAGACAAACATTGATATATCAGAATCTAGACCAAAATATATGCAGTATTTGATAACTCTTGCCAGATAATTACTGACTGGAAATATTGTTTCACCGTGCACAATGTCTAAGCTAGTTTGTAGAGTTATGAATACAAACACATAATCTTCCTTTCAAGATTGACAACATCGCTCTCGGCCTCGAAATTAACAAAACTAGACTGCATTAAATTAACATTCAGAACCCTGTTGAGTAACTGTTCAAATTCTTTAACAATTGGCCACTCTCCATCAACTTAAATTTTTAGAGGAATTGTTCAACATGGCATCAGAGTAGTCCGGTCTAAGTGTAACTCTTGCCGCTACCCATTATATTTGTCCCTCTCTAAGGAGAGCTTAAGCGCTTTTAGACGAGGTGTTCAACGTACACTAAATATTTGAATTCAAGTTGGAAAGCTTGGAATTATCGATGGTCTAATTCATCACCTTCTTTTTCTAATTACAGTCATATCCAATTATCAAATCCTATCTAGTAGCTAATACAAGGGAATTTGAAGATGAAATGACAAAAATTTACATGGTATCTAAATTCCAACTCACCTCAAGAAAACTGATCTCTCTTTCCAGAATCTGAACCTTGGCTAACTCTCGACGTTTCCCATACAAATCTGGGTAGGCCGGCGGCGACTTGGGCCGCGGTGGCACTGAAACAGTGCCGACAGAATCACCCATTTCTCCAATGTTTGCAACACCAATGTTTTTTGCCCTTTATGAATACTGGACATTAATCGAAATTATTGGGAAAAAGAACATGCAAAGAGAGGAAAACTGAAAATTGCAAGGAAACAATAATTACTGGGATTTATGACTTTTGGGATAATTCCGAGGTGCAGAGTGCAGAAAAGCCCAGACCTTAAAAGTTCTGCCACACCCACTATCACAGCAAACCATGACAGAACTACCAGTACATTACAACAACTATACTGTATACATACATAAATTAATACTATAAAAGTTTAAAATGATATATGAGTGAATGAATTGGTAGTTTATTTCACCAACATTTGGTAATACTTGGTGTAAGGTATGCAGCAATCGAACCTCTTTCAAGATTATGCAATCTGCTCCACTCAATTTAATCGACATTACTAGCAATAAAATAAATACTTGAAGGTTCACAAAATAGTGAGATGGGTTTGCAGAAATGTACAGAAATTGCAGAGTCGATTAATGGGGTGGGGAACATCGTACATCAGATCACACGTGACTGCTGTGTAGGATAGAGAAATGACTGTGCTGTTAATTGTACCACCATCCTCCTCGTTTTTACTTTTTACAGTTTTTCTAGAGAGAAAAAAAAGGAAAATGGGATGCCAGGCACCGCTGGTACAAAGTACAGGCCTGGTTGAGTCGGGATAGACTGGACCATTTAACACGTAACTAAGAGTTGTAACATTTACATTTTTACAATTTAGCCTCCATTTGGCCAGATTTTTAAATTATTTATAAATGAATATACTTATGGAGAATGTATTCGATAGATATTAAAATCGGATTAAAATTGAAAAATTAGCTGTTATTGTTGACTTTTATTAAACGAGTGAGACTCAATAACGACTAATGGAAATACGTTACTGCTTATAAGAAAGGTTCGATATTTCTCATATGTTATATTATTGTGGGGTCTTCATTTATATATCGGAAAATGGTTTTCTAAAGAGTTTTTTGTTGCAGGAAGCAGAAAATATTACCCAGCACACTTAGTCTCAAACTTGGTTCGACCACTTTCTATTTAACCGTATCAGAATCAGGCTGTAGACCATTGTGATTGACTACTGCTCACCAGGGAGCAATCGACACATATTCACCACAAGCTTGGACCAACCTTATCTATGTGCCGGCCCTGAAATTTTGGATGCCCAGTGCAACATTTTCAAATGGTGCCCCTTTCATGAAATAAAAAAAAAAATCAATAATATTATATCATCGCAAAATTATGAACCTTAAATACTATTTATTTTTTTAAATATCGTGAATAAGAAAAGTACGAATAAAGTTCAAAAGCACCTCTCAAATTTCATCAAAATTCATATCATCAAGAAAGAATCATTCAAGTCCCTAAATTNTGAGTTCATACCATACTTCATATGCAGATGAGATGTATAACAGGCTTTGGCGAATATCTTTGTTGATTGAATTGAATATCCAAGATAGAACTAGGTTATTTACACGTACCCAGCATTTGTATGCAGCACTAGATGATGGGCTTGGAGCTTCCAAAGATCTATCAATGAAGCCTAATTTATTTTTCACACTCAACGCCATAGAGATTGAACGGCTCCAAGAGGTGTAATTATCTCCATTGAAGATTTCAGACACAATCAGTGCACCAGGATTGTCGCTGGGATGTAGATAGTAACGGCTGGTCGGATCATCAATAGGATTGAAAAGAGAATTGATTTGGCTTGTCATATTGCGAGTGAAGTGTTGATGAATGAATAAAAGAATTTGCTAAATCTCTGATACCATGTTAAATTCATCAACTCAGAAATGCAAAATAGAAGAAGATAATCTGATGAAGATAAAGGGGAAGAAAATTATTATTCAAGTTTGATAAAATCTGTGTTACATTACATCATTTATAGGCAAAGGATGCCAACTGAATTAACGAAAATAACAGTAAACTAACTAACTGAATTAACTTCCTAACTGACTAACTAATCAACAGATTTAACCGATTCTCCAACTTCTTATGGTGCTGTTTGTTTTGCTACTGTTGCTGTATTGTAAGAAGGCTGTCAAAAACGATCTTGATATGAAATATAAGCTTCAAAATATGAACGAACTCGAGGTTGAGATTGAAGATTTGAGGAAGTCAAATCATGACCTGAAGCGGGAAAATTCTGAACTATCACAGAAATTGGAGTATTTACAGATGATTGCTCCTTCCACTCTAGATAATGAAGAGGTAATGGTTCCAATTATTACATTTTATCTTCTTTTCCCTGTAGTACACTAGTTCATTCTTGATTTTGGATATTTTCTTTAGCAGACTCAAGCACTTAAGAAAGAGAGTCACCATTTAAGATGGCAAAATGAAGATTTAATGAAGGAAATTGAACGACTCCAAGTTCATTGATGTAGTGATTTAGAGGAGCTAGTTTATCTTCGATGGATAAATGCTTGCTTACGCTATGAACTGAGAATTTATCAACTGGGCCCTGGTAAAACAATCGTGAAGGACCTTATTATAACATTAAGCCCCAAATCAGAGGAGAAAGCCAAACAATTCATACTCGAATAAGCAAATAAAAATGGCTTTTCTGAAAAGGGGATCAATATTACAGATTTTGACCCCGATTGGCGGTCATCTTCCCAGGGCTCTTTTCTTAGAGACTCGGGCGACCTTGATGATTCTTCTATCGATACCTCGTTGGTTAACAAAACCAACAATTCTAGCTAAACAAGACTTCAACAAACTGATGAGACTTTTACGAGGAAAAGATGGTCATCGTCGTAGTCGAGGTTCACCTCTTGATCAAACTACATCTGTGGAAGATAATGTTGGGACTTTAGTATCTTAATGCAATTGCATATCATACCAAGTCAAATGCATACAATCAATAAAGAAATAATCCATAAATGTAAGAACAACACATTGAAATTAGCTATGAAGGAGTCCAAACCATCTGGATCATTGCCCTTACTTCAATAAAAATGTCTTGGTATGATATGTAATTAGGAATAAGAAATACAACAATGTTAAATAAAGATCATCATTTGTCTATCTTTTAACTCATTTATCATAAACATTGTGCACTTTAACTTAACATGATAATTAAATTTTAAAATTTTAAAATTAATAAATATTTTAAATATATAATTATACATATATATACACAAATAAAAAAAATTTTGGTGCCCCTATAATGATGAGGCCCTGTGCGGTCGCTCAACTCGCGCACTCTCAGGGCCGCCTCTAATCTAACCATCCTCAATCCATTGTACAAAAGCACCTGACTCGATTTACACCACAAGGACTAAGCCACTGTTTGTTTCACATTATTTCGTACAAGAAAATGAAATTTTTGACCTTATTTTTTTTCAAAAAGTGGATTCCACTATGAGATAAGGTAGTCAAAAATTGCGGTTGATCCATTTTGCAACGGTAAAAATTCTTCTAATAATGTGATACAAACATGGGCTAAATAACATTATTCCTTCCATTGAAAAACTCTTCATTCAATAAAATTGAAACTAGTAGAGATGAGCAATGAATAAGTGTATCAAAACAGGAAAAAATTACACGAAATCAAGAAGAAGCACAAGTATAAACATCCTCCAGTAGGCAAGTCACCATTCCTAAATAGTGCCCCAACAGTAACTCCGTCGATCTCAGCATGATCGATTGCTAATGAGAGCCTGAACTATCGATTCCAGGTGAGTTTGCTTGTGATCAACGACGTGTTAGCTAATAGAAGAAATAAGGAGTTGTTCTCTTTATATTTTAGTTTTGTGTTTTGAATTCATTTTGAGTTTTGTATTTTAAGTGTTCATTTCGAGATTGTTGAAAATGTATTCTTTTTGGCATTTTGAAAACACCAAAAATGCGTTTTGAAAATTTTGGCTTGATTATAACTGAAATTTTCTTTGTAAATTTTTAATTTGTTTTCAAAAATGCATTTTCGAAAATAGGAAAGAGAACGCGTTTCCACCGTTTTAGAAAATCGAAAACGGTTTGAAAATGGTAAAAAGAACATACCCTTAAGTTTTTCGAGGATGATTTGGAAGTGAGAGATTCCAAAGTGAGTCGCTGCTCTTCGAGATATAATTCTGCGAGCACAGATAAATGCAAACAATTAATAGGGGGGCTAATTATGGTTTTGATTGATTGAGATGTAGATAGAAATGTAACAAATGTTCGACCTTTCCGACCTCGTGTGGATCCTTATGGTGAGGACATTTTCACATCAGGTTTGGTTTCCCAGCCACAAAAACCACAAAAGCTCGGCAGGATGAATTGGCGAGGCCTGCATCCTTACATCATTGACCTGAGCTAGTTTGGGTTTAGACAAGCATTTACATAGTTAAGGCCCTGTTTGATACACATTATTTTTTTAATTCTCATTCTTCTACTCATTTTCAACCACACATTTTTCAATAAAATAATATTTTCCATCACATCAATAACTTTTCTTTCATTTTTAACTACACATTCTCCATCAATCTACATTCAATAATACATTCTTTCAAAAGAATGTGTCCCAAACACACTCTAAGCATTCTATTTTTTGATAATGTACACGTACACCACAGGCACCCATCTGGACAACACCATCAAATATCAAATGCACTAAGATTCAGAAACTTGTACATAATACCTAGAAAGGTAAAATATATATAGGAGAGTGGAAGACATTCTCATATAGTGTTCTTCTTCATACAGATTTCCCTTCAAATTAGGCATAAAAGTCTAAAAACTAAAACTTACATGTCCTCTTTTGGTCTAAGTGGAAGCCTCCATTTTTCATGCCAAAATGGAAACCCATCATAAGTGTGTTGCTCTAACAGTTAAAAGAAAGACATACATACCTAGATTTTTTCAACTGTGCCATGAAAATAAATGACCCTTGACTCCCCCCCGGCATCGAAAGCACGAATATACTTTGAGCAAAAAACGTAGCAATCCGAAAAACTTCATTGGCCCCCTTGCAAGGGCTCCATATGGTCTC